GACGGCTCGTCCCTGACAGGCTGAGGGCGGGCTCCCTGCTCTTGCCGTTGCTGGTTTTCTTCTGCCGAGAACACGTGCACCGATAAATACATCTTTATATCAAAGTTGTTAAGGGAAGAAAATCAGATTGATCAGCTCTAGACTACACCCAAGTGGACTTTGTTTCGTGAAAACTCCAGCTATGACAATATACTCCTCCCTGAGAAACTGCAGAAGATTTATTCGCATCACCAAGAGGTCCTTACTTACAGAATCCCAGTTCCAGATCCTGGTTGGCAGAAAAAGCCAGACATGATTTTTCCATGGATATAAAAAAAGCTCCCCTCTACTTTGAAAACGCAATGACACTGAGAAAAACGTCTTTATGTACAACTTTTAAGAACCCCACGTCTGGAGGGGGAGGGTACTTCTTAGCCCAAACCAGAGGGAAGGAGGGTCCCAGGCAAAGTCCTCCTCGGCTGACCTGGCCCTTCCCTCGTCTACATCAGGGCAGCCAGCTCCTTCGAGGGGCAGACGTGAGACTCAGCTGCAACGACACACCAACACTGCTGCCAGGAGAGAGCAGGACTCCACTGCCAGGGCCCTCCTCCCCGGAGCGCAGGTGCGTTTCCCCTCAGCTACCATATCCATCAATTCTGCGCCCCCCGTTCGCAGGCATCCTCAGGCGCAGCCTGACGCACCAGCTCCCGGACACACACGGACTGGCCCACCCAGTGTGGGGGGCAAGCGTCCACTCTTCTCTAACAAGAGGCCAAGAAAACGTGTCGATGCTAAACCCGCCTTCTCCGATTCTGAGCTGGGTTTTGGAGAAAAAGCGCTTTCAAGGGAGGCTGTGAATTTATTCTCTGTCAGCAGTTTAAATGAAAGGGAACCTCTCAAGGGCCACCGCCCCCAGATCCCCAGATCCTTAATTTTCACATACTCAGAAAGACTCTCCTTTATTAAAAAGAGAGAAAGAAAACAGACAAGCTCAGAATATAGACAAATGAGGGCTAGCTCACTAGAAATGATGAGCTGTCCAGCCTGCACAAGCAGTTTACCAAAGACCTGTCTGCAAGTTTCTGTCCCCTCCATGGCTTTGTGTTCAGCAGGTGCACAGTAAGTGCTTCTGAATGAGCCCCAGAGATAAGCCCCCCTGCCCAGGGGCCCCAGACGGGTAAAACTGAGCCGTACCCGTCATAGCCAACTTGCGGTCTCCAGGGTCCGCTCCCGCCGGGTCCCGGGTCGCTGGAGGAGGACTGGTTGCTGGGCGAACTTCTGAAATGTTGACCAGAATCATTAACAGGGCGCTGAGGGATCTGGGGGGTGTCAGCATCTCGGCCTGGCTTGTTTTATAAATGAATTCATTTTCACAATGACAAAGGAAAGGGAGAAACACACACTGCAATGTGAAATGGAATAAATCCTGAACAAATAAACGAAGGATGGGCGAGGCCATGAGATTTCAGGTGGTTTATGGTTGGTGATTTATTACACGAAAGAGACGTGGCAGGAGCAAGGCCACACCGTCTAAAGATTTAAAGTGCAGACGCTGAATCAAGTGAAACAGGAGGAACAGCAGTAGAACCCTCCCAAAATACAGAATTATGGGAATATCGCTACTACGTGTTCTGTGAAACTGAACGCAAGGCACGTTTTGGTTCTATATTTAAAACGGATGCAGAAAGAAAACTCTAAATTTGGCAAAGCATTTATTTTCACACATCTATGGAATGCAAGCCGACTTATTTCAGACACACAGACACAAGGAACGCTCGTGAGAACTCGCTTGATGCAGACGTGCTTGCCAAGTTTCCCTTCTGCCATCAGAACCCGTCGCTACAACTTGCTAAATTCTCCACTTGTAAGGGAGGTTCTGAGGACCCCTTTCCTTCCTGATGTCACTCCTATCACCTGGGCTACTGACTGTAGGCATTTCTCTGAATATGGGAAGCTGATAAACTCATCAGACCTTTGATAAAGGAGACGCAGAGTCAAGATGCTTTAATGTCAAATTACAGGGAGGGTGTAGCTCAAATGGTAGAGTGCGTGCTTAGCATGCACGAGCTCCTAGGGCCAATCCTCCGTACCTCCATTAAATAAATGAATGGATGGATGATGAATGAATGAATGAATGAATAAACCTAATTACCCCACCAAAATAAAAAAGCTTAATTAAAATAAAGATGATTTAATGCCAAATTAAAGTAACACCACTCCTGTGCTCATTCTAAGAATAAACTGGAGCAGAGGAAGACTACATGTTTTAATCTCATTAACTAATTATTAACACCTATATAGGCTTCCTATAATGCAAGGACAGTTCTAAGCAGTTGACACCTGTTGATTGACGCAGCCTTCAAAATGCCCTGTGGAGGTCTCTTTTACTGCCAGGTTTATTTTTCAGATGAGAACACTGGAGGCCAGGGAGTTTCAGATTAGCCGACACAAACTACTATATATAAAAGAGATAAACGACAAGGTCCTGCTAGGAACCTGTAATGAAAAAGAATCTGAAAACCAATACATGTATGTACACATATGACTGAAACATGATGCTGTACACCAGATGTTGATGCTACATTGTAAACTGACTCTGCTTCAATAAAAATTAAAAAAAAAGAAAAGAAAATTGGAGGCTGAGAGAGGGCTAGTAACAGGACAAGGTGACACCTGCTGACAATCAATGTGTGATCTAGACCAGAGCCTGACCAGACACTCTGAGGAAACTCACGGTGTCTGTACGGCCTGTAAGTTACGTTAAAGCTAACACAGCAGGAGTATAAGTCAACAACAACAACGTGACAAATTTACTGTTCTGTTCACTGAAAACTACCTGTGCCAATGACTCAGCCCCCAAATTCCCACCACTTCTCACACTAGTGGACTTAGGTTTTATTTTTATTATATTTTTTGGGGATTGAGCTTTGAGTGCATTCTCTCAGGGGGAAAACTGTTTAATTTTAAAGGCAACTGACTTTGCTTAAAATCAGAGAGAGAAGCAAAGAAATGCTAATGCTCTTGGGACCTCTTACTACCGAGAGGAGCATGTGAGGAGCTAATCACGGATTTTGCAATTTTGTTTGATTTATCCTCAGAAGTGTTTACATTTGCCTAGAGACTCCTGCAGGATGGTTTGTGGGGTCTCTTTCCCATGATGGTTTGGAGAGCGAGTTGGCAGGAGGGTGGCGGTGGAGAGGGACAGCCGCGGCCCTGGGGGGCGGAGTCCGTGGGGAGGACCTGCCATCAGCCATCAGCACCCTCGCTGGGCCAGGAGAGGGGCAGACCCCAGGCACCGCAGCATCGGGGGTCTCTGTCCAGCCGCCCTGCCTGCCAGGTTGGTCAGAACAAGCTAACTAAGAAATGACGAGGGCCATCAAGGTGCCCCCAACGATCTGAAGTTCTCACTGCAGTTTCCCCAGGGCAGTCCCTGAGCAACCGGCACCAGCGTTACCTCGTGCCATCAGGCAGCTTCCGGTCGAAGGAGGTGCTGCGGGGGATGGCGGCCTGGTTCTGCGGGAGCAGCGGCTGGCACTGCAGCCGGTCGGGCGTGCCGGGGACCGGGGAGGCCCTGGGCAGCGGCTGCAGGCGGGCGTGGGCACCCGGTGCCACGTGGTGTTCCTCCGGAAGGGGGTCTTGTACTCGCAGGGAGCGCCCTCACTGTCGAGTTTGTACTCCACCATGGGGATCCGGCAGAGCTCCGAACACCCTCTGTTGGGCCGAGAGGAGATGGTGAGAAGGGATGCTCGGCGCCGAGGCGGCGCCGAGGCAGCATCACGGCCCACAGACCCTGATGCACAGCCGTCTACCCTGAGGCACAGCCCTGGTGACCCTGTCTATTCAGTACCCAGCCTGGGTCAGAAGGGTCCAGTCATGCGTGTGGCTTCTGGTTAACCAACAGATACCACACTCAGGTATCACACCCATACGCTCTGTCTCTGTATGTAGCTTGCCAGCTTCTTGGACAGACCCAGATACGTCACTAACCAGTCTGCATACATGGAATCACTTGCACGGAGCATGGGCAACAAACGAATTTTAATAGATTAAAAATGCCTCATATATAACCTGAACAGGCATTTGAAAAGATGATTACATCATCAAGAATCATAGTCACGTGTCACTTTTTTATGAGTCTGAGAAAAGCAAAAAGCGAACTAAGGAAAAGCTGTCACAGCCAAGGGAAGACCTGAGGGCCCACCCTGTCCAAGTCACGTGTGGTCTCAGTTACCACGGTCCCTCCTTTAAACCAGCACCATGGCTCCCCACAAGGTCACCTCCTGAGTGCTCTCCTGTGGGCTCCAGTGATCAGTCTGGGACGTAAGACCCTTCATCCTGAAAACTGGCATTTGAGTCAGATACCCGTCAAGTTCCCCGCTAATTACAGAGTGCACACAGTACTGCTGACATGCGCAAGGTCAACCTGTGAAGCCAACTGGTGGAGTTTGGCAAGAACACAGGAAGACGGTGAGTTCCACTTTTGAGTGTCGGGGTAAGTCACCCCAGTCCACCACGCTGACGAAGACAGTGCCTCTCCCTAGACATTCCAGAGTCCACAGAAAAACTCTAGCAGTCGCCCTCTGCGAAGTCTACAAGGGCAAGGTGCCGCGCTGCCATTCTCAAGGTGGTGAAGTAAGAGGTTACACCTCTTTCCAACCTACTTAGAAATCATAAAGGTGGGATATTACCGTCTACAGCAGAACATCAAGAGCACCTGCTCTTGTCTTCCGTCCCAACCGCTGTTCCCTGCAAGTCCCTGGAGGTTCACCTGAACCTCGGGCTTTGATGTCTCAAAGGCTGCGGTTGCCTGAACAGTACAAGCCAAGTAATCTTGAATGGAGACTCATGGAAGTTAAAGGTCCTGGAGTTACGTTTTGAATGAAAGGAACGTGAGCCTTGAGTCCCAGGGACCAAAGGGAAACCTGCATTTCCAGTGCTTGCTTGGGTTTCAAGTTTATTGAATTTGTTTCAAAAGGAAGGAGAAAAAGGAAGGCGGGTGACTGAGCAGTGTGCTGTCTTTAATTCATGCTCATAGATTGCAGTCCTCAGGAAGATGCTGCAATTTAGCTTCAATCTTGGAAGAAAGCTGTTATATAAATGCATAATCATGACTAATATCTGAGAGACGGCTGACAAAAATGTGTGCAATGCATGAAGTTGAGGAATCAGGGTCGAATTATTTCATTTCCAGTCTCTTGCACAAGGTCATATGTGAGTGATCTTTTAATACTAAACATGGCTATTCTTTTGCCCTCATAAAAATCAACTTAAAGAATGGCTTTGTTTTAGAATCAAAATGAATTCTGTTACTAAGTGACATTTTTATAGCAACTACTCTTACAAACTAGATTTTTGCTTTACTTCTATGACCAAGACATCAACTGCTATTTGTAATAATGCTAATTGTAACGTATCATCAAACCTAGTGAAACTCAGTTCTGCTCCATATGTATGAGGAAGTCCTTGAAGGATACATATGGAAATTCAACCAATTTTTAGGGAAATGGGAAGAGGAATAAAATAAGAATTAAAAATGAGCCTGCAGAGGCCCTCACATTGCAGCATCTACGGTAAACGGAGCTATACCGGCCCCTGCACACACTCCTCTCTCCCCCTGGGGTGGCCCCAGCTCATCCGAGCATCCAACCTGGCTGCTGTGAAGGGCACACCACACACATCTCTGGCTGGTAAGTAAAAGCCAATCAAACCCAAACTGACTGAATGCGAAAAAGACCTAGCACACGAAGACGTGCCACAAAAAGTGAGCTGCTCGTCGTGTACGCAATTGCAACATTTTTGAAGACTTCCGTCTTTTGCTTTCCTGCCTTAGTGCAGAAATTCAGACCTCACTGACACATATGCTTGGTCTCCTTTAAACAGACCAAACTGAGTCAGTGGATATGACCTGCATTTGTAGCTTCTGGGATTGTTTTCATGATGTAGTTGCCAAAAGGAGGCACTTAAGACACTGGATGAGGTGGTGGGGGGAGGTACAGCTCAGCAGTAGAGCACATGCTTAGCAGGCTGAGGTCCTGGGTTCAATCCCGAGTCCCTCCTCTAAAAAAAATATAAATAAATAAATAAATAAATAAATAAATAAATAAATAAATAAATAAATGTAATTACCTCCTCCCCCAAAAAACAAAAAAGTAAATAAAAACGAATATATATATATAAAGACATTAAATGGAGGATCCCTTACACGTGGGCATACCGACTCCCTCTTCGCTCAGTGACAAATGAACATGTCATCTGATGCTTCTAATGAACACTCCAGGTAGAGAGCAATACACACCCAGCTTCAGGGTTCAAAATAAATATAATTTTCACCACTGCCTGTCTAGCCAGTAACTTTGCCAAGTCTGATCTTTCTCATTTGTATATCCTGGAAGGCAAAACATTCCGTAGACCAAGAAGGGTTAAAAATGCGCTAAGTGAAAATGTGACACTACGAGGGGGGGTGGTGCATAGCTCAGGTGTAGAGGGCATGTCTATTGTGCACCAGGTCCTGGGTTCAATTCCCAGCACCTCCATTAAAAATAAATCATGAGAGAGGGAGGGTATAGTTCAAGTGGTAGAGCGCATGCTTAGCATACACAAGGTCCTGGATTCAGTCTACAGTACCTCCTCTAAAAATAAAATAAGTAAAATCTAATTACCACTCCCAAAATAAAAGAATATATTAAAAAATAATAAATACCTAATTACCTCCCCAAAATTAAAAAAAACAACCTTTTTTTAAAATTTAAAAAAAAGAAAAAAAGTGACACTACAATATGGTCAGAATCACAAGGCATTCCATTAATTGGAGCCCTCAGAGGATCTTATGTTTTACTGTTTTATTCTGACAAATAATACAAACCAACCCAGCATGGCGGACTCCCTGGGGTGGCTTATTTCTGCACAAGGGACACTCATTAACTTACATCCACACTCATCAGCATTCTTCCCTGCTGCCTAAAGCAGGGTCTCCCACCAGCAGATGTCTAGTCTCCAGCTGCTGCCCCTTCCCGGCTTCTGGGCGAGCTCTGCACCTGTGGGCCTGTGACTTCAGAGACACCCAGCAAGGTCGCAGAGATGGCATCCACACACGGCCCCATTCCTTTCAAGTGATGCCTCCAGCTTCCTGGAAAGACCCTCCACTGACCATCAATAAACGGGCACTTGAAAGTAAAATTCGCTGCTGGCTGGGCTGTGGACTCAGTTCTAAAGAAGCACTTTAACCTCGGCTGCCTGACCATCAGGACCAAGGCTGTTTGAGCCCAGCCAAGTGGCACAGTTTCCTCTACTCACTCCCAGCACGAAGCCTCTATGGCAATCACACTGCTCTCCACTGAAGGGAGAAGCGCTGACTCTGGGGTCTAGACCCAGACCTGCCGATGGGTAGTTCAGAAATGGGATAATCTCTTTGGACCCAAGTATCTCCTCCTGCAAGTGGAAGAGTAACAGTGTAGCCTGTGTTGGATTAAATTCTACAAAATGTATATAAACTTCCCGAAGTGACAGCTTCAAAGAAATTAGTTACAAACTGATAACATTACTTAAATAAATCTTTTTGCTTCTATAAAAGAGAGGAAACCAAAATAAAACAGCAAAAGACCTATGTATTTTCATGAAAGCTCTTTCTAGATAATACATATTTATAGAACTCTGGAACTGTAAGGTTTAACAGTAACAATCATAGCTGCAGACAATCAGGGCTGTGAAATTTCCTGTGTCCATTTACCTATAAACAATGCGCCATTATCTTCTTATTTTATTCTTTCATCTTATATCAAAGTAGGACCCACGACTTTGTGCTACTTTAAAGGGGGAAAAGCCCCAGGGATAATGAATAGGGACAAAGACTGTTGAAGAGTAGTCAAAACAAATCAAAAACAAAAACTAAACCGAAACAAACAAACAGACAAAAAAACCCCCAGAAAACCTAGAGAACTGAGAAAGTTTAAAGGAATGAGATGTATTCTTACCAAAAAAAAAAAAAAAAAAAGGAACAAATTAGCAGGACCTGCAGCCACAGCTTAATCATGTAATTATAACTTGCATTTGCTCTCAAATTGCCTATTGGTTTTACTTGGCTTGGCTGCATCACAGCGAACCTTTAACTGAACCCACTAGTCTAATGAAAAGCCTTCCGATGTATTGCAACGCTATCCTTTACTTCTAATCCACACTTACCTGGTACAGCACTTGACAGGTTTCAACAGACAGGACATCATTTCAATTTTGCAAAAATGTTGGAGGCAATACAAAGGAAACCTCCAACGATTTTCAGAAGAAGACTCAGAGAGGCCGGAAAGGTGAGACTGCTTATTGGGTACAAGTTCACCCTGACCATCAGGACCAAGTCTGCTTGAGCCCAGCCAAGCGGCAGTTTTCTGAATCCTCAAAACCCTTGGCCGGGATCTCAGAAAAGTACCAAAGAACAGCTGATGTGGCCCACATCATGTCACAGTTTCCAACAGGAGCTAAAAGAATCTTTGGAAGCAAAAGCAGATAGTTTCCCCTCAAATGAATGAACTACCTGCTTCTTTCATATTATGCACTTTGTAAAAGAGCCGTTTTACAGCCCTAGGGATTGAAGTAATCACCGATATTTTAATCATTTTAACATCTGTTATGCTAATAGACTGCTAATGGCTAAAAGACTCTTTCCAAATTATCCAACAAGGTGACAGGGGTAATTGATGCTCATTCACTTGAATCACCAA